AGGCTCCCTAGTCCGTCAGGCGAGGCCAAGACTGCCCGCCTGTTTCATGTGTCTGGAGTAGATAACTCCTTGGCATATTGTTGTCTCAGTGCTCCCGCTTGCGCGACTAGTAAGAAAGGAGCAATTAGAGGATCCAGTCTTCATAGCTTATATCAGACCTGTCACTGAGCCTGAGACAGAGGATAGTCCCATGGATCCAGCTATTGCCAAGCTGCTAGAAGAGCTTAAGGATTTGACAGAGCCGCCGACAGGAGTAGTGTCGCGGCCAATCCAGCATCGTATAGAGATAGAGCCTGGTAGTAGGACTCCTACGGGAGCAGTTTACAGGATGCCCCCTAGGGAGTTAAAGGAGTTGCACAAGCAGTTAGATGAGCTCCTTGAGAAAGGTTGAATTAGACTCAGTTCGTTTCCTTTTGGAGCACCGGTACTATTTGTCCCAAAGAAGGAAGGAGAATTGAGGATGTGTATACACTATAGGGGTCTGAATGCGATCACGGTAAAGCACGTTGAGCCACTGCCCAGGATAGACGATCTCTTAGATCGGGTGCAGGGTTGCAGATATTTCTCGAAGATCGATCTAAAGTTTGGGTATCATCAGATAGAGGTCCATCCTGATGACCAGTACAAGACTGCTTTCCAGACTAGATATGGGCATTACGAGTTCATAGTGATGCCCTTTGGACTGACCAACGCGCCTGCTACATTCCAGCGTTGTATGAATGATTTGTTTAGGCCGTGGTTAGACAGATTTGTTGTAGTGTATTTAGACGACATTTTAGTGTTCAGAAGGACCCTCCAAGAACACCAGGGTCATTTGAGGCAGGTCTTGCAGAAACTGAGAGAGTCAAACTTCAAGATCAATGCGAAGAAGTGTGAGTGGGCCAAAACACAAGTCTTGTACTTGGGCCACGTTTTAGACGGAGATGGCATTAAGCCTGAGGACAGTAAGATAGCGGCGATTAGGGATTGGCCGACGCCCAGCACGTTGACTGAGTTGCGGTCGTTCCTAGGCCTAGCTAACTACTATAGGAAGTTCGTGAGGAACTTCTCGACTATCGCCGCTCCCCTTCGCAGGTTGCTCAAGAAAGAGGCAATCTGGCAGTGGGATAAAGATTGTACGTCTGCGCTAAAGAAGTTGAAGCGCGCATTAATAGAGTATCCTGTCCTCAAAGTAGCAGATCCGTCCTTGCCATTTGTCGTCACCACGGGCGTGAGTCAGTATGGTATAGGCGCCGTGTTACAGCAGGACGATGGCAATGGCTACAGACCCGTAGAGTTCATGTCAGCGAGGATGCCCTCAGAGAAGGTTGCTACCTCGACGTATGAGAGGGAACTCTACGCTCTCAGGCAGGCCTTAGAGCATTGGAAGCACTACTTGCTTGGGAGGCACTTCAAGGTGTATTCAAACCATGAGACCCTTAGATGGCTGAGGACACAGGCCAAGATGACACCTAAGTTGACTAGGTGGGCCGCTGAGATAGACCAGTACGACTTTGAGCTCAAGCCAGTTAAGGGCAAGTACAATGTAGTTGCGGATGCTCTGAGTAAGAGATCAGACTACTTTGGAGCTATAGTTCACTATCTGGACATAGGGAGTGACCTGCAGGAGAAAGACAAAGCGTATGCACAGGCCCCTATTTATAGTGACCTCAAAAGAGTCAAGGAGGCCCCAGAGACCGAACCAGACTACCGCCGTACAGAAGGACTGTTGTTTGAGAAGACTGATGTAGTACGCGTGTGCGTCCCTAACAGCGCGGAGATTCGTAGTTTGATACTAGGGGAATGCCGCGACACAGAGGGACATTTCGGTTGGCAAAAGACTCTAGCCAATCTGATGTATGCATACCTGGCCAGGAATGAAAGCTGACTACATAGAGCATGTCCGCAGTTGCAAAGTATGCCAGAGAAACAACAGTACTACGCGATCCCCTCTTGGTCTTCTCAGACCCTTGCCTATGCGAGACCAGCCCGGAGACTCAGTGTCCATCGACTGTATGGATACCCAAGTCAAGAGTAGGCACGACAAGAGCCAAGTCATGGTCATAGTTGATAGATTTAGCAAATATGTTGTTTTTGTTCCTTTGCCTGCAGAGGCCCGTACTGAATTAGTGATTTTTGGGTTAGTGAGCATGGAGTCCCATTGTCTATAGTTAGCGATAGAGATAGTCGCTTCACTAGCCTATGGGATGTGTTGTTTGGCCGCCATCCAGAGACTAACGGTCAGATGTAGCAGATGAACAAGATCCTGTGGCAAGTTCTGCGCATGTATATTAGACCCGATCAAGTCAATTGGGATGAGATGTTGCCCAAGGTAGCCAGTGCGTACAACAACAGCGTGCACTTGTCCACCTGTCGCACTCCCAATGAGTTGCACGAGTCCTTTAGACCACGCAGACCGTTTGAGGTACTAATCGGGATCAGATTCATAGGCTACCACCCGGTACCAGGGAGTTTGCGATACAGCACGAAAGGGAATTAGCCATAGTTGTTGAGAACCTCAGGAAGGCCCAACATAGAATGATAGAACAAGCCAACAAGCACCGTCGCCCATCGCAGTTCCAAGTAGGCGACTTTGTCTGGGTCAAGTCCAAAGAGTTTGCTCCTGAGGAAAATATCTCGCAGAAGTTACTGCCCACGTATAGAGGACCGTGGCCAGTTCTAGAAGTTAAGGGCGGAGTACACCATAGAGATCCCAGCACACCTCCACACCTACCCTGTATTTCATGCATCAAAGTTGCTGCCGTGTGTCACAAGTCAGCAGTTTCCATCTAGATGGTCCATGATCCCTCCAGACATGGACGGAAGGTACGACATTGACGTCATCGTAAGTGAAGATGTGTTTAGAACAGGAGGTAGAGGTCGTCCACAGAAACAGTATAAGGTCCGATTTGCTCATCAGGAGCTAGAGGACGACCGCTGGTTTACGAGAACATAACTTCTAGAAACAGCTGCCGACATAGTTAGAGCCTATGAGAGAGATAAGAAGGGGAAAGGTCCTGCCTTGGACTGAGTTATTCTCGGAGGACCTCGAATTTAGGCCGGCGGGAGTGAAACGGTTTTCACCTGTCAGCAGTAGCGAGTGCAGATCCCAGGGCTCGATCCCTAGTCATCACCTTACCTGTGTACAGCATTTATGTCGACCCCGAGAGTTGAACCCGTGACCTGTGTATTTGTAACAGTTGGTAGACTGTCGTAGGGTCCATAGGTAGCAGGGGTTCGATCTGTAGATCTGTCGAGTAGAAGTCTTAGGGGGTTCTAGATGTGGTAGTTGTAGAACTTCTGAAAGGTCAAGGTCGT